TCAGTGTGCGTGGGGTCAAGATTGCTGTGAAAGCTGACGACTCCAAGGAGCACAGCAAGGTAGTGCCCCACTCCCTGCTTGTCTCATCCCTTCCCTGATTGCTGCTCTGAGCTGGGTCGTGCCCCCTGTGCTATAGGTCATGTTTGCATATGAAAATTGAGGGTCTCCAGGTCACGTGTTAGGGTGTGAGAAACAGCATCATCAGGGTTTTAGGCCCATTGTCAGGGTCTCCCATGCCTCACAAGGTCCCAGCTCTGGGCGATACTGCCAACTGATGCCCTCGCAGCTGCCAAGCACGTCACTGTGCTGGGATGCTGCGAGCTGAGCTGTACCCAGTAATCTGTCAGCTGCTTTTAAACCTTTCTGCTACTATTTTGAGTGGTGTCCTCCAGATCTGCCCTGTAATCTCTTTATCTGGCTAGGGCAGGCTGCTGATTAGCATTCTGCATAAGTAGCCTAGTAAAGCGCGTTTAGATGCTGAGCAGAGGCAAGTGAGGGCTTTGCAGCAAGCTGTTGGGAAACCTGCCCTACAGCTGTAGGATAGGAGTAGTTCATGTCTCTGAGTGCTGTGACAGAGCTCGGGTGAGGTTTCTACCTCTTTTTAGATAAGTCCTGCCTGTATCTAGAGGATGCTGTCAATTTAGTTGTCCTTTAAACTTGTATAAAAAAGTTTTCATTTCTGGTTGGGACCCCTTGGATACCCAGGCTTGAATTACCTGTTTAGTTGTCGTAACTAATTACCTGTCCTAAGTTGTCCATTCACCTTCTATCTGCTGGTGTTTCTGAGAGCCTGTTTAGCAAGAAAAAGGGGCTGTGTATGCTGGTGAACAGCAGCACTGACTCTAACCCAGGGCCTCTAGAGAAACCCTGGAGGAGCTACTGGCAGTAGAGGCAGCTGGGGTGGGAGCCAGCAGGCCTGGAAAAGCTCTCTTTGTGCAGGTGCTTGGGGCAATCCTGACAGCAGCCCAGGATCAGGCTCCAATTAATTCCACTCCTCAGTCTCCAAGTGAACGTTTTCAGAGACCAGCTGCTCTGTAGGGGCGTGAGTAGGGAAACTTTGACAGTTCTTCTCTTTCTCCCCCCCAGGTAAACAAGTGTAGCCATTTTTTCCAGCTGAAGAACATTTCCTTTTGTGGGTACCATCCAAAGAACAACAAGTGAGTAGCAAGGAAGCAGTGGTGCAGAGGCTTTGCTGTCTTCCTGCTCACTGAGAGTAGCAAAGACTGGGCTAGGAAGGAAAGAGGAGGTTTCCTAGAACCTTTGGATGGGCATTACATCCCGGCTCTGGGCATGGGCTGTGGCAGCTGGTGGCCACCAGGGGGGTTGGTTGCAGGTTCCAAACCCCTATGCCTAAAGGTGGGTACACCTCAGGGATGCTGGGGTACCTGTGCCTGCTAATCTGCTGGTCCTGTCACACCTCTTCTCTCTGCCCTCAGATATTTTGGGTTCATCACCAAGCACCCTGCTGACCACAGATTTGCCTGTCATGTCTTCGTCTCGGAGGAGTCCACGAAGCCACTGGCGGAATCTGTAGGGTGAGTCCTGGCTGGGCAGGGAAGGCTGTTTCACAACAGGCAGGAAGAATGAGGCAACCAGGCTGAATTCCACCATCTTCCTATATGAGTGGGGCTTGAACCTGGCCCCAGGCTGGCACTTCTTTTTTTGAATGAGAGGCTTGGAGTGAGAGCCAGGGCTGACAGGGCTATGGGCATCATATTCCTGACAGCACTGGAACAAGTCCCAGTGCAGGGCTTTGCAGGCAGATTTCTTAAAGTCATGCACTGTGCAGGGAATCAGAGCAAGGATGGAGACCCTGCAGCTCTAGGGGCAAATGCAGGAGGGGCCAAGAACTAGGGCCTGGAGGGTCAAACTGGCTACAGGGTAGGGTGTGAGGATGAGGATTGAAGTGGGAATCTGTAATTGCCTTGTGGAGAGGATGCTGCTCAGCTTTGCCTGGTGCTGTGTTGCAGGAGGGCTTTTCAGCAATTCTACAAGGAGTATGTGGAGTACACATGCCCCACGGAGGACATCTACCTGGAGTAGGGGCTGGCACAGGCACCTCCTGCACAACCAGGGCTGCAGTCTCGCCCCTTCCCCGTGTCGTGCATGGACAAGAGCTGCTTTGAGCCTGGAGGAGGAGCGGGCCTGGGGCAGGGCTCCCCGGGGCACGGAGCACCGCCTCTTTTTGTGACTCCCTTCCTCGGGCTGGGGGGACGGGAGGGGGGAGGGCTGGACAAATTGTGTTTATTGTACAAAATATTCTTAGTTTATTCTATTGGAGAAGCACCTGCTGGGTGCCCTACTTGTGAGCAGTTGGGGGGGGCAGTAGCATGCTCCTGCCCTTTCCAGCTGCAGGCTGGGGTGACAGCATCTCCTCCTTGTGACCATGGCACAGCTTCCCGTCACGTCCATCTGGGGTGACTTTTAATTGCAGTGGCAGAGTCGATCTCTTGCAGTATGATGACACAGCAGCTACAGAAAACAAGACCCACATATTGGCTCCTGCTGGGAGATGGGATCACCTCCCTGCCAGGCCCTGAGGACATGGCTGCTGGGCAGGGATGGCAGAGGGAGCCCTAGTATCTCCTCTGCCAGAGCCAGAATGAGATGAGACAGCTTTCTCCTGCCTCTGTCCCCTCCCTTCTTGTATCCATGCCCTGGGGAGAGAGAAACTTGCCCCCATACCTCCCTGCAGTAACTCTACCCTCGGGAGGGAAGCCTTTCTCTGCCCTTTTCCCCTCTCCCCCCAGCTGCAGGTGACAGAGGCAGGGCTGGAGCACCCTAAGGCAGTGGGGCTCAGCCCCTGCACAGAGCTGGGTGCCTGCCCAAAGCTGGGCAGGGAAGGGCTAAAGCCTGCAGGGAGCTGTGCAAAGCATCAGGGAGGTAAGAGAGCTCTCCCAGTCCCTGCAGCAAGCGGTCTCTGTGCTTCAGCTGGATCTGCTGTGGTGGCAACAACTATTAAATATGATGGTTCATGGAACAGAGCTACTGTCCTGTTTGTGTCCCTCTGCAGTGGGTTCGGGCTCTGGCTCATTCCTTCCCTTTGGACCCCAAGAGAAGCTGGAGCTTCTTGGGTTTTGTCCAGGAGCCTTGGCTGCAATCCCTGGAGGCCAGAGATTGTATGATGATCAGGAGGGACCTCTGGAGGTTATTGCTCCAGCCCTCACCTGTGGGGCTGTGGTGGGCACGGAGGCACACTGGCTCACAGGTGGGCATCGTCGTAGTACTCCAGCAAGTCCAGACCATCACGCTTGCTTTTGCCAGCTCTGCGCAGCACTGCCGGCCGCTCCCGGGCTGCCCGGGTTCGGAAGCGCGGCTGCTTGGGTTTGATGCCGTAATCTGTGGGCAGAGCAGAGGGGCTGGCCCAGCTGCACCTGGGATTAGGGACAACTGCCCACCTGGAGGGGTGAGTGCATGGAAAGGAGGTTCAGAGGGACAAAGAGAGCACTGTACCATCCACCAGGCCGAAGTGCTTCTGCGGAAGCTCCAGGGGAGCAGAGAAGTCCTCAGGGACTGAGTAGCTGACCCTACAGAGGAAAACGCAGGGGGCAGGAGTGAGCTGAGGTCCTACAGCACTAACACAGGCTGGCACAAGAGTGCGTCTTCCACCCAGCCTGGCCAGCTCTCAACATCTTTGTGCCGCAAGTGCCAGATCCATGTCAGGACCCCTGGGGTACCTCTGCAGGTACCGGGGCTTGGAGGAGTAGGAAGAGGGAAGTGCCATCACCTCTGGCGCACAGGCTGTGGGAGGGCAGCCCCCAGCAGCAGGGCAAGCAGCAGAAGCCAGCGCAGCATGGTGCACACTGACAGGTTCCACCAGTTCTGCAGTGAGGTCACAGAGTAGACACCCCAGTTGCCCAGGACACCAAGCAGGTGGGGCAGGGGACACGGCCCCTCCCAGGTGCTCCTGCTACCCCCCCTTCCTGCTTCCTCACCTTCAGGTCCTGGGCTGCCTCTGCATGGTCCTGCCTGGGCCCCACCACCTGCTCAGAGCCCTCCCTGTGCTGGTGAATGTCTCTCTGCAGCCACAGCTCCAGGACTGTTCCTGTCCCTCACCACCTGCCTTTGCCTCCCTCTCAACCCCTCCAAAACCAGACTCTTGCATCTCATCTCAGTACCACCTTGCCCCCAGGAGTGACCCCCACCAACGCTTCACAGACTTGATGGTCTTCAGCATCTTCCTCTGCTAAAAGCCTCAGCAAAAGGAGCGCAGTCCCTTGCTCATGGCTATTCCATGCTGCTGTTGCCGTGTTGCAGGGCCTTGTCAGCTGAGGTGGCAACACAAATTCCCTCCACCACAGTCCTGTGGTCACCAACTGTGGTGGCCCATTAGGGATGTGTGTGTGGAACTACGTCCCCAATTTCAGGTGCTGAGGCAACAAGGCTGTCATCCCTGCAGCCTCAGAATCCCTCAGGCATGGTTTAGGTAGGAACGCTGCTGACACCCACTTGGGGCACACACACCTGGCAGTTTCCAGCTTCCAAGTGCTGCACAGGGAGTTGCCTGTGGGGCAATCCAGTGCCACCAGATGACAGTCCCTTTTTCCTGGCCTAGGGAGACTGGTGCCTCAACTGTCCCCTAATTAGCAGAGGAGATACAGGCCTCTCGCGGGCCCTTTATTAATATGGAACAGCAGTATTTGCTGCATTAATCACTTCTCTGCCCTTGGCCAAGCCCCTGAGCGCTGGCTGGCAACCATTCTGCAAAAGCTTCTAGCACACATTAGGTGCTAGGAAAGCAGCCTGCACACTACAGCTCTGTGTACTGCCAGGGGAACCCCAGGAATCTGGGGACTGAACCAGGCACCAGGAGTTATGGAGGCTACAGTCACCAGCTGAGCAACATGTGGGGCCCTGACTGACACAGGCCAGAGCAAAAGGCTTATAAGGGACTGCATCCCAGGGTAGACAACTGCAAAAGCTGCTCTTTCTGACAGAGACAGACCTGCTGGCAACCAGATATGAGGGGATCCCGTGCAAAGAGGGAGAAGCCCTTCAGCTCAGTTCTCCCCAATCAGTCAGTTTATTTGACAGACAAGTCTGCTCCAAGCAGATCGGCCAGGCACGGCCAACACAAGCAGGTTGCAAGTTCAACCTCAGTGCCTTGACATGTGAGGCAATGCTCTCCAAAACCTCACTATGCTGCCTGGCTTTATTATAGCGCAGCTGTACAAAAAGAGAAAAAACAAGTGCTTAAAAAAAGAGATTGCCCCACCACCATCACTGCAGCCACAGAATGGTCCAAGAAATAGGTGGCCAGTCTCTGCACACATGTAGTGTCCATGATTCACAGCTAGATCCGTTTAAAAAAATCACATACACCCCCCTCCCCACCCTGCAGAACAGGAGCTTCTCATTGATGGTTTAACTGAGAATTAGACATGATCAACATCCCTCCCCCCAGCCTGCTTGCCCTCCTTAGAAAGGTCCAGCCATGATCTTAGCAGAGAATAATCATCTTCTCATCAGCCCCAGTTATAGAAATAGATTTTCTGCCAAGCAGGCAAGTAATCCATCAGTGGCCCTGAAACAAGAGAACAGAGGGATCACACATGTAGAAAGGCAAGAATTTGAAGCTGTGTGTCTATAGGGTATATCCCCCCTTCTCATTATGATATCCAACAATCCTAAATCTCCACTTCCACAACTGAGATGAGCCCCAGAATAGAACAGTTACTTTTGCCAAGATGGAAGGCAACATTGTGATGTGGTGCTGGGACCAAGTGGGATATGAAACACGGTCAGCATGGCCATAGTGTGGGACACCAGTCACTCCCTCAGAGCTGACATATCCAAATTCCTGTGGGAATGGGGGAGTGGTCTACAATGTACAAGGGGAAAATCCCCATGGAGAGAGTCAGGAGGGCACTGCTGTGACACAGGGAAGAGGAAGACAACTCAGCAGAGAGCAGGTGCAAACACAGAAGCATCTGCTGTAGAATGAAAATGCTTATGAAGCACATGCCTTAATGGAGGCTCCAGAGTCTGTCTGAAATCACTAACTGGAAGAAGCAGCTACTGAGCCAGCCAGCTTTGTGATCTTTCCAAAGAAAGGGCAATCCCATGATGCCAGGCTGATGTAATGTCACATCACTGCCATGAATCACTCCTCAAAGATTCATATCATCAGGGAAGAGGGGTAATGAAGTTCTGGCCATAATAAAGGGATCCTCTGGTGAAGACTATAACACAGACCTGGTTCCGCCCTTTAATTTACAATCACTTCCTGACTGGGTCAATACTTCTAAGCATTCATTTACTCCTGCAAACTAGGGGTCAAGGAAAAGAGTTCAGAAACAGAGTTGCAAATCAGGACCCTGGTACACCAGCTGAGGGGCAGAAAGGAAGCACAGGAGAAGAGGCCTAGGTGGCGGAGACCAAGCTCTGCAGCCTCAGGCACACCAAGCCAGGAAGCAATTCATCCTTTCCTTTTCCAGTTTAAAATGACTCAAGCATCAACACACTAGTTAGTGCACTAGCACTAACCGCTCTAGGGACTTTGTGATTCCTTCCCTGGATCAGCAACCATCTGGCAAGCGTTTCCAACTGCCCCCATCTTTCTTCACCAACAGAAATGGGGATATAGCAATGGGACCGGAGCCACTTACGTGTGACGAAGCCAACTCCAGGCACATAATCAGCCAACAAGCGCAGAAGGAGGAGGATCCTGCCCCTAAGAAGGGAGAGAATATGAACGAGTCCAGCTGGACACCTCCTGCTCCAGCTACTAAAAGCAGGAGCAGCAAGGGCAGCTGTTATGCAAGGGCTCAGATTAACCTGGTCAGAGGCACCCAGACCTCTTCAGATCTACTCACCCAGCCCCCTGATGCTATTTCAGTTAAAAGGGAAATTTTCAGCAAAAGCCCAGCAGGGGCCCCTTACTCTGAATATCGGTCATAGAAAGGAGATCTCAGCAGGTAGTACAGCAGTAGGACAGTTCGTCGCCTCAGCTCCGTTCGCTCTCGCCTGTTTAAGTCTTTCAGATCACTCAGCAAGCTCAGACTGGAAGGAGGAGGGCAGAGAGTTAACTCACAGTAGCAGCAGCCAGCCGGGAAAAGAAACTGTTTCTAAAGCCCTCCACTCTCAGCTCCGTGCAGAGCACACTGCATCAGCTCAGAACAGAAAGCACCCTAAGTGTTGCAGAAGACATGTAAATGTGTCAATCTCCAAGCTAAAGACCAGCTCCACTGTGTATTTCTCTCAGTAGGGCCTGTCCAGGACTGGGAAATGGGGAAGTGTGATGCTCAGCCACCTCCAAGCTTAAGCACCAACAAAGACTCTGTCAGACTGACCTTGAGATGTCCAGGACTGCTGAGAGGAGCCAGGGCTTCCATGATCTCTGGCCCCACACTCCTAAACTCAATACTAGGAACACACAGTCAAGGAATGGAAAGATGAGAGATGCTTAACAAGAGGCACATAGACAAGAAATTCCCCCGCTACCCACAAGGCTCTGCCAAGTGCAGAAGAATACACCCTAAGGCAGTCCGAGGGGGTCCCGGAGAAGGGGCTGGAGGACTTGTATCCACAATTCCAGCAGCTGAGGCCAGCCAACAAAGTGTAAGAGAAGGGAGGAGTCCCGAGGCCTCTACCCAAGCAGAGCCCTGGCAGGGAGTGAAGCCTGGGTAAACCCTGCACCAGGGCCAAGCTTGCAGCACCCTCTGCCGGCACCGCACACGGCGGTAGCTTGCACACAGCCAGGACAGGATACGGTGGAGCAGAGGGCGGGTGATGTAGAGGGATTCTGCAATGGTTTCTTGGAGACCAAGCGGGGTGGGAGGCTGGTTCATCTCCTCCGCTCTTCTGCTCTGTGACTCCTCCCTCTGCTGAGGGGACCCCCAGTGCCGGGACTGCAGGGATGGGGCTGAAACAAGCAGATCTGGTCACTAACACAAAGTTTTGTCCCAGCTGGAAATTAAGTATCACACAACTGCTAGCTCACTCCCCCGGCCCTGGAGCACCTCCCCGCTCCTGCCCCTTGACAGTAGAACAGGAGAAGCAACTGGCCCCTCACAGCCAACTCCCCCCATTTTATATACTGGGCATGACATTCTATGTCCCTCTGGCCAGTTCAGGTCACCCATCCTGACCGTGTTGCCTCCCAGCTTCTTGTGCACCTCCTCACTAGCAGAGCCCGGGAAACTGAAAAGTCCTTGGCTTACAGTAACCACTACTTCACAACAACCTACAACATAAGTATGTTATCAACATTATTTCATATTAAATCCAAAACTCAGCACTCTTTTACTTACTAGGAAGAAAACCAACCCTATCCCAACCAAAACCAGGACACCTTCCTACTGTGCTTCCCTGAACTACCACCTCACTGCTTTCTGCACTGTGAAGATGTGAAACAGGAAAGCTTGAAGAACTGCAGACACAGCAACTGCTGTGGCTGATCAGCACCCTCAAAGCTTGCCTCCAAAGGGGACAGAGCAGGTAGAGGTCCCTTTTGAGATCTGTGCTCCTGAAAGCACAACCCTAATGAAGAGCTGCCTCTGTTGCACAGTTCACTTGGGAAAATAGAATTTTAGTGCTAGCCTTGCAGCACGCATCTGAATCCCCGTTGCTTTGATATCCACACCCACCCACAGTGGGCCCAGTGACTGGCAAGATATGTCCCAATACAGGGTTCTACCCTTTACTGCTCACATCCACATCAAACATAAGGGCACAGAGCAGAAATAGCTCAGGTTGAAAACAGTTACTTACTGCTCTGGAGAGAGCGCACAACACGGCTGGAACGCTTGCCAACATAGGTCTGATCCTTCCCTGCAGAGTTGTCTTCTGTGTCTGCAGAAGAAATTAGCCATGGGGTCAGGCTTCAAAGCAACACACTTCACCCCAGAGCTGGCAGCACCCTCCCCTACATTGCCACCAAGAAGAGCAGACTGAAAAGCTGATCTAGTGCAAACCAGACCATCCTGCAGGGGCTAACACTAGGCAGAGGGTGAAAAGGTAAATCTACCTGACACTGCCCAGGCCTAGGACCTCTTTCCTCATTGTCAGATTGGGGAACATGCAGCCTGACTCCCTGTTCAGCCAGCAGTTCCTGGCTTAGATCTCTCCATCCCCTGCTTCCATATTGTGAGACATCCCTGCCACTAAGCTAACTCGTCCTCTGCAAAGGATGGAAAGTTCAACACAGCTCAGCCTTGAGCACTGAAACCTTACAGCTTGCTGCACAAGCCACTGGTCTGATAAGTAATTCCAGCAGGACAAGACATGTGGCTCAGCAAGGCACTAAGCCAACAACAACAACACTATAGGATCACCTTGAGGGTGGAGAGGCTGCTGCTGTTCCCTGTTCAGCGGCACGATGGGAGGAGACATCTGGATGCCAGCTTTGTACCACAGCAGGAGCAGGAGACGAAGGATAGCTCTGTGAACAGACACAAGGAAGCCTTCAGTACCAGACTATGCAGCAGGGCTCCTGTTGCACTGGACAGGTGGCTTCCACAGAAGAGGGAAACGCTCAGGTCTGCTCAGAGCAACTGGCAAGGTGAGAGGTGTAAACATTCCCTTCTGTGGCACAATATCCAGTACCCTGTGGGGCTCCAAATTCCCCCAGCCTCAGGGACTAGCAGCTCAGTCCTGCTTGGTCTTTTTCCTGTGGTACGACTGAGTACCCTTCAAATCCCCTTTCTGAGCGCACGCTGCCCCTTTCCCCCCACAGCACTTACTTAGCCAGCTGGATGAGGACAATGATGGTCCACCGGCCCATCTCCCCCCACACCCTGGCTGTCCCCATCTCTGCAAAGACCTCCACGCATTCTAGCACACTCAGCCAGGTCAGCAGCTTCTGCTGGGGCAGTGACTGCAAAACACAGAGGGGAGTAGGGTGGTAAGACAGAGGTTCTGCTCTGGAGTTAAAGAGGACACAAACACAGCCCAGTCTGGTGGGTCCCAGCACCAGATGGCCTTGGAAGTCACAGCCCCAGAAACAAAAAGTGGTGTCTCTACTGTGGCTGGAGCCTATGCACAAGACCACTTATCTACCTCCAAGCAGGGGCAGACTGAGACATCACAGTATCACATAGGGCTGCTACTCAAGAAACAGGGAGAACATCACGGCTGTATCTTGAATTGCCTTCTACCCCACAGTAGGATAGTCTGCTAGGTTGCGGCACTGTGCCTGAGCTCCATGGCAAAACTCCCCCTCCACCTCATCCCAGAGTTGAGACACACAATAAACTTCCTTTCAGGGTCAGAGCTGATGAAAGCTTATTCTTGGAGTAAAGGGAAGCGGACCCAGAGTCCACAGGCACACCAGAGTGACTGCCTTCTGAATACAGCATCTAGATTCCTGGCATGAACCCTAAGACAGTCTAGGTCCCTGCTCTCCACATGGGAACTTGCTGCTGCTGTCAACCACAGGCTTTAACCCTTTAAAAAGCATCAATAAAGACAATGCAGCTGAAATTGTCTTTGACCTCAACAACCAGGGAAGTCTTCTGCATTTGTTTGTCACACAGCTGATGCACCGGTCAGAGCTGCCTACACCGAACTCACACACTGGGCAGGCCTGTAACAAGAGGCTTGTCTGGAAAAAAACACCCTCCTCCCCATTCCTCAAAGGATCTAACAAGTGCTTGGAACCAGCCTGGGGCTCACGCAAGCAAGATATAGAAGCAAGGTGCTTATGTTTGTTTTGCTCAAGGAAAGAGTTGGAGGGACAGAATCAGAGTTTCAGTGCTCCCGAGCCACTGCTCTGGAAACAACAGTTATTCAGCAATACCTCTGCCTAGCTCAAGTTCTGAGCTACTCAAAAAAGCCAGTGGAGTTTCTGATGCAAGTCAGGGCCTGATTTCTGTAGTCCAAGGAGTGCTCTAGCCACTCCAAGACAGGAGCTACAGGGAAGGGCTGCTATTTACCTGCACTCAGAGGTTGCCTCTGGTCTCTCCACACCTGACCACAAAGAAAGGCCACAGCAGACCTATCAAGTTTCTACAGACACTCCCTGAAAGCTCCTGCAAGGAAGAAGCATGTATCCCAAATCCTCCTCCCACACACTCCAGCCTTACCACGGGCAGACTTTGCTGCAGGTCCTTTCGGAGAATCCAGTCATTTAACAGCACTAAGAGGTTGGACGCAGAGTACACTAGAAAAGGAAGAGAACACCACAGAATGGATGCACAGAAAGCAAGCCAAACCGGCACTGCTGCCTCTGTCCCGGGCAGGGGACAAGGGAAGGAGGGCAGCAAGACGTGCAGACTCCTCCCATGGGCTGCCAGAGGATGCAGCCAGCCAAGAAGAGCCGGGCCCGGGAGCGGACCCACATTCACGCGCGCAAGGGCACAGCGCGGTCCCCGCTGCCCACCTACCCAGCTCCGATAGCGCGTGCGAGTCCGAGAAGCGACCTGCGGAGGGAAGAGAGCGGATACCAGGGAGCGCCCGGCACCGGGGGAGCCCCGCGCCCCGCTGCGCCCCGGTGTCCGCACGCCCTGGTCCAGATCCCGGCCCGCAGGGACGAGGGCCCGCCCCTCTCCCCGCTCCCGCACCTGGCAGCAGGTAGGAGAGCCCCCGCACGGTGCCCTCCAGCTGGGCCGTGGCGGCCGGGTGCCGCCTCACGTACTCCTGGTAGCGCTGGCACAGCAGGCGCAGCCGCCACGCCGGGCCGGCTCCGCGGGCACGGGCCGTGGCCGCCGGAGCTGCCGCCGCCGCCGCCGCCATGGCTCCGCCGCCGCGCTGCTTCCGGGGCCGCCCCCGCCCCGCCCCGCCCCGGCCAGCCGAGCCGGGCCGAGCGCCGAGCGGGCGATGGGCGGCGGGGCGGGGGTTTAAAGGAGCGGCGGCGGCGGCTGGGCAGGTACGGCGGGCTGGGGCCGCGGGGGGAGACTGTGAAGGGTTGTCCCGAGCGGGGAACGCGGTCGCCGCAGGGTGAGGAGCCGGGATACGAGCGGGTTTGGGGGGGGGGGTCCCGGGAGGGACACGTTCCTCAAGCGCCGCGGCGGGGATAGGGTCTGCCCACGCGTGGGTCTGCCGCTCCGCGGGCCGGGGCGGCGGGGTGCGGGCTGCCGGGGGGCTGCTCGGGTGAGCTGCCGGGGCTTGGCTGCGGTACCCGTAAAAAGTTCCCGGTGGCGCTGGGGAGCGAGCGCGGGCACTGGGAGCAGTGCCTGCCCCGCCGCGACCCTTCGGGGAGCGGCGTGCGGCAGCCCCTGTCCCGGGGGCGTGCTCCGGGGCGGGGCTCCGGTGGGCACCCGCGGCCGTGCCCGGGTCGCTGCTTGCCCGGCAGCGGGGAGCCGTCGCTCTGCACCTGGCGAGGGAAGGGTGAGGTGTGACCGACAGGGCAGGGGCAGCCCCTCTCCGTTCGGGGGTTAAGCGGCCCGCGCCCACCCGTTGGGTGTGGGGTAGGGGGAGGCGCTGCCCCGGAGGCTGGGAAAGGTCGGGGGGCCTCGGGAAAGGGGGCTGCCATCCTCGTGCCCGTACGTGGCAATGTCTAATCCCATCTGGGACCGGGGGGACCGAAAGAGAGAGCAGAAGGGCCGGGGTCGGGCCGTGCAGTCGTGGCTCTCCGGGAGCCCACGCAGGACTTGCACGGCCCCGCCGCGCTCAGTGTTTGCCGCACCAGCTCTGACCCCCGTTCGCAGGCGGGAGGAGGCGCAGGGCCCGCCCGGCTGCAGCCTGTTGCAGAAGGGGGCTCCAACCTGTGCCCGGTGCCGTGGCCTCTCGCCCTCCCTCCGTGCTGTGCCCCGGCTGTACCCCCCACTCGGCTGGGAGCATCTCCCCTCTCAACGCAGGCTGCCGGCCCTGCCCGCCCCGCGGCCCCCGCCCGCAGCCGGGCCTGGCCCCGCACGCCGACCGGGGCAAAGATCGGCGGCGGTGCCCGTGGGCCAGGAGGTGCTTCGTGGCCTCTCGCAGGGCACCTGGGTGCGCACAGAGCTGGGCCGAGCTGCCCCTCCTTCCTCCTGTCCGGTTACCTCTGCACAATGGGCACAGTGTGTGCCTGCGGCTTCCTCGGCGGGAATTACAGTTGCATGGGCAGGCACTTTATCCTTTCTGATCTCTCTCTCCTCTTCCCCCGAGGGCTTGTTTTCCAGCAGGCTGAGTTCAAAAAGGGCACGAGATACTGCTGGCAAGCAGTCTGGCGCTAAACAAACCTTTTTAGTTAGAATCACATGGGTTAGACCCAACTTTCCATTCACATGGGGTGCTACCTGTGAGGTTCTCTGCGTTTCGCGGTGGCTGAGCTGCTAGTGTAAGACAAAGGTGGGTGAGATAGCACCCAAAGCCTTTGGGTCTGGAGGTCTGGAGCAGAGCTTGCTGGGGGTAGGTGTGTGCTGCTAGTGACTCTAGGGGCATATCCAGTGCAGACTGTCACAGCTGCTGCCCTTCAAGGAGAAGCTAAAGCTCTGCCAGACAGCAATCTGAGAGCTGGCTGCCTAGGAGACTGCCAAAGACACCTTGTCTTCAGCCAGAGGTGAAGCTTGATGCACAAAGTCCTTGGGCTACTCTGAACAACACAGGTAGTGTGATTCTGTCTCTGAGTAAGAAGCATTTTGACAGCCACTTCTTCACCTCTTGTCCCCACCTCCCACCCACTGTCATGTCCCCTTTGTTCATCTCCCTCCTGCAGTGAGTGATTTTGGAGGACAGTTTGAATATCATCATACTGCCTTTTTATGGTAAATATGCTGCAAGGGAGCACTGTAGGAGGGGTGGCTTCTCAGAGCAGCAGTAAGCCCATGAGACTGGGCAGGACTTAAATTGCCTTGGCTTACAGTGCCCATGGTGTGTGTGTGGGGGGGGGGGGGGGGGGGGGG